TAACTATGAAAGATATTTTATACACAGTGACCTTTATTGAAGACACACGAGATAACCAAGTATGAACAAAATTGCCTCTGTCTCCTTAAAAAATATATACGACCAGCGATATCAAAGACTTTCCCATGTCTGTACGTTTTGTCCATGAGTGTATGTATATATAACAACAACTCTAAGTCACAAAGAAAGGAAATGAGGAACTTCATTTCTTATAATTTAGTGAGAAAACACTGGTTTTGTGTATATGGGGGGGGGGGGAATTGATATTGAATATTTTTCGCCATGGAGAAATGTCTAATTATAATTTATTTAAACTTCGATATTAAAAGTATATTTCCATATATATAGGTCCCGCGGTAGTGTTTATTGAAGTAAAAATACAAATCAAAAGACGATTCCATAAAATCAGTTTTATGGACTAGAATAAGTTTGACGGTGGCGCTCGCGTGCCAGAATTTGGAACTAAAATTGGCTTGTCTTTGTATTTTTACTCCTCTTTAATGGAAAAACTGAGTGTGACGTCATTGAACAATTAGATTAGTAGAAATAAATATATTGAGTGAAGATGTAAAATTTTATTAGGGATAAAAATTTGCTAATCAGTTGCTTCATATTAAATCAAATGGTATTTATTTAGCTTACTTCCAAACAAGTAAAAGTCTGGAAATCACTTGAATTGTCATCGTGATTGAGCAAGTGTGTAAATTTTCTGTTTTCTAGGTGGTCCGGATATGTTAAAATTTAATTACATATTTGTGGATACACAGACATGAATGTAAGTTAAATAAAAGCTTTTAAAAGAGAAAATGTTTGCTCAGGAAAACTTTTACTCTTCCAAATATTAATTTATGAGATAATTTTGAGGCAGATAAAATTTTAATTAAAGTACATTCTTTGTATAACAAATAGATAGAAATTGAATTTATATAAAGTTTATTCTATTTACAAAAAAAAACTAACATTGAATTGTTGTAGTCACTTCTATATATACATAAGTAAACTCAATGTATTAACATATTTTTTCTATATTGTCGTAATTTTTTCATGAAAGCTTTTATAGAATTGTTGGTTAATCTTTCACCCATTTGGGTTCTGGTCATATAAGATAAGCGGCCTAGTTGAATGTTCTTGGCATTTAGTTTCCACGAGAAGAGCAGCTTTCTTCGTCTATTGGCCTGTTGGTACTTTTCATCTATCATATTGGCGTAGATAGTGTATTGGGAAGTGTAGATTCTTCTTTCTATCTCCAGATTTCGACGTGGATCCATGAAGTTTTTAGAAACGTAACTTGCAAGTTTGTTGATATTTAACTCACACATGAAGCTATATAACGTAAGGCGATTCTCCACTAGTACATGTTGTTGCATCTCTTGTATTTCTTTTTGACAAGAATCCCAAAAATCAGAATACCATTTTATATTTATAAATATGTGGTGTCTTGGTTTAGATGCTGTTGGATTGAATAAAATATAACTTTTTATTAATCGAAAGAAATCATGTATATAAATATCGCTAATATGAATTTTGCTCAATATTCTGTTTAAATTTATAGTAGCTCCCGCTTCAATTAGCTTTTTTTCTATTTTGTCGTAATTATCTTGACTTAAAATTTCTAAAGGGGTATCACCATTCTTATCTTTGAAGTTTACATCAGCCCCAGCTTCAAGTAAAGACTCGACAACTTCCCAAAGTCTCCTTTGAATAGAAACAAATAAAGGAGGAGTAGGATACAACTTTGTGGTTAGATTAACGTCAGCACCTCCTTTTATCAATATTTGAGCTATTTCTGATTTTGTGTTAATTATAGCAAATTGTAAAGGATTAATCTTAAATTTTGTGAGCTCCTCATTTACATCTGTCCCTGCGTCTATTAAATTCTGTACCGTTGAAACATCATATTCAATTATAGCTCTCAATAATGGATTATCAAATATGGGATTTAATACATCCTCCCCAGTACTCTCTGATACATATTTAACACTTTTACCATCTACAGATAGTATTTCTCGATATTTTATTATATCCGTGCTTGAAGAAAGAAAGAAATATCTTTTGCCCATTTTTTTTCTAATAAAATGCGTTTTTTAACAATTAATTTCCTTGGATAATTATCAAGTGTATCTCTCTTGCTTATAAAGCAAGTAAAATAGCAATAAAATATTAAAAGATGAATAGAATTTGTAATAATATTATTTTTAATCTGTGATTTGATTTAATTATTTAATAATACTAATATTAATAAATATAATATAATATCTATTTATATATAAAAATGAATGTTTGTATGTTTGTTTGTATGTCTGGTATACAAATTCGCAGTAGTTCACTAATTCAAACCAAACTTTCCATACATAGGTAAAACAATACGGGGAAGACGATAGGCTATTTTAAAAAATATATAAATCAATTATTAAAACTATATATTCAAATTATTCTACTTAGCTCACGAACAGCGCCCTCTATCAAAGATTAGATTAAATTATGCTGATGCAAACAAATAGATAATGCTAATAACAAACAATTATAAAAAAAAAATCTTATCTAAATATATATCACTCGGGTAGATATGCACACGGGTCAATCCCGGGGCGAAGCCCGGGTCACCTGTCTAGTAATAAATAAATATTATTTAATAAATTATTTAATAAAAAGATTTATTTTTTTATTTCACCTACGATAATTCGGCTCTATTTTCTTTGCCGACATCCAGCCTATCATATAATCAAAGTTATATATTTATGAAAATATAGTAAAATAATAATTTTAATATATTGATTTATATATATGCATATATGTCGTACCCGCCGTGGTCGAATGGAAGGGCGCGACCATGGTGCATGTATGCTTCGAAAAAAAACTTGTTCCACACTCGTGAGCGCGCGCGGCGGCGTGCCGTAACATTCGCCCGCGCGCGCGCTCACGAGTGTGGAACAAGTTTTTTTTTCGAAGCATACATGCACCATGGTCGCGCCCTTCCATTCGACCACGGCGGGTATGACATATATATACGAGTATATATATATATATATATATATATATATATATATATGATGATGAAGTGTTGACTCTCGCTATACTGTGTTGACCGAGAGGAACAGTCAGGATGGGGAGTTTTCCAGTACCTCTCTGCACCTTGGAAGACCTTTAAAAGTTCTCACAAAGTACATGCAGTCGTGGTCGAGGCAGAGTGGAAAGCTTGGGAATGTCCACACAAAAAAACGAAGACACAGTTGCACTAAGAAAGTTCCGTGAACAGATAAAAGTTGAGCTAGGAGCGAAAGATGGGGAGATATAAGATTTCTTACTGGTCTACATGATGGATGAGATGGACCTGAGGTACGACCGACGTGGGCTCGCGCTAACGGTGAACTAACTGTCAAGTGACTGTATTTTTGGCTAAAGACGGGGGCCTTTATGTACCTTTTTCTGAAAAAGGGGGTTTTGCATGTCACCAGATGTGAGAGGGGGTCGTCTGGTGACATTCTACTGGCGCCGCCCTGACAGCTTCCAATCTATCTTTAGATGTTGCTTTGTGGCTTCAATCTATCTCGAATTTAGACGTGTTTGACTTCTATCTCTCTAGCTCAACTCTTAATCTATTACAGAGTTTTATTTATTATCCTCAGTTTGTACAAATTACATTACATATGATGATGTAATAACACATGTCAATCATGCATATAACAATTTACAGATGTGTTTCTACTATACAACATTAAAATCTTGTTATAAGGTATATACAATATGGGGTTGTTGGTTTAAATTACCATATATATGTTATGAATAATTTTGTTGTTGTTAGATAAAGGGTTGATAAGACAAAGGATCGATAAGATAAAGGGTTGAGGTGCAGTCGTGATAAAAAAAGATAATTATTTACCGTCAAGTAGCTTTTATTTTCAATTACTTGAGGAAAGATTACACATTAGTTATTTTCACATTATATAGAATTTATAAAGTTAATCCTATATTAGTGATTTAAAAGGATTGATATGTTAACTACGCATATTTACAACAAAACTGAAAGTCTTTTTAAAAAACGATGATAACAAAGTAAAATTATCAATGAATAAAATAAAATATATATTTTTAAAATATAGAAATATTTGAGTTTTTAGATTATATAATATATATATATACTAGCCGAATGACCCAGGCAACGCCCGGGTTTTACCCGATTAAATGTTTTTATTCAAATACTATTCGTTACAATTATAAATTGGCGCCGTGGATGTCACTCTTGTGAAACGTCCCGCTCCAAACTTTGTGTCTGAGAAGCGATATTTTTATAGAAAGATGATCAAGCGTTTGTTTTCTGCTCGAATGAATGTTTTTCTGTTAGAATTTTGTTCCTGCGTACAAAATAATGAACTGGTTTCACCCGTGGTCTCTGCTTTTTGTAATTTTTCCCGTTATAATTTTGTATCTGATAATCAAACATGATACAGCAATATTGTCATCATCATTTTCTGACTAAAAATATATAGTTTTAATAATTGATTTATATATTTTTTTAAAATAGCCTATCGTCTTTCCCGTATTTTTTTTACCTATGTATGGAAATTTTGGTTTGAATTAGTGAACTACTGCGAATTTGTATACCGGACATACAGACAAACATACAAACATTCATTTTTATATATATAGAGATATATATATATATTTTTTTTTCGTGAGCATATCAGATGGTAGAGCGCCATCTAGTAGAACAAACTGCTCATGTGAACAGTCAGGAAAATGCCAATTTTGTTTTTTAAATATCAACACCTAACCATTTTTATAATTTTTTTTTCTTGTTTTTCATATATTTATACTAGACGAATGGCCCGGGCAACGCCCGGGTTTTACCCGAGTGCGTATATATTTTAAAAATGTTTTAATTAAAATACTATTCGTTACAATTATAAATTGGCGCCGTGGATGTCTCTCTTGTGAAACGTCCCGCCCCAAACTGTGTGTGTCTTGAAAATATAAAAATAAAAATGTGAACGGAAAAATATGTCCAGGGTAGCCTAGTGGTCATGGCATCTGCCCGGTAAGCGGAAGGTCGGGGGTTCGATTCCCATCCCTTGACACTTTTTTTATTTTATCCATTCTGACCAAAATCTATCCGTGAACTTCACACAGAGAGAATAAGGCAATTATATAAGTAGATAATATAAATTGTGCCTTATCACACACTATTTTTGTATTTGGCCTTATTACCTTGTGTTTATAATCTATGACGTAATGCCGGCGGCGCGCGCCCGTTGGCTGCCGGCGAGCACGTGACCTCCCTGTGCGCGCGCATCCGTGACAGAACCGGCCCATGACGGTCGTGACTATATATCCAATCATTTTATAAATATGCCGATAGAAAGGGAAGGGCAGGAAGAAATTCTTGGCCTAAAATCCAAGAAGAATACCGAAAAAGCCGATTTGGACGCGCAATAAATCTTGGTACTCTAAGAATAAAGGTTTACACGCTTATCAAGGACGAAAGATACATAGATATCGTCAATGAATACAGAGGGACATCCAACGGATCTGCACCTGTTGTAAGCCAAAGCCAGGAAGAAGACGAAAGAGAAAGTACCTCAAATGTTCCAGACAACGGCGACCAAACCAGTGACAGTAGAACTTGCGATAGTGAAATCACCAATAACCAAATAGGCCAAGAGGAAGGTGAGAGAACAAACGAAAGGGAAGATAGGGATTCATCAGAACTAGTAAGCCAACCAGATAAGGAAAAAGAAACAAATGAAGAGGCAAACAGCGATAACCCAGTAAACATAGAATTGCGGCTGAGAGTAACAAGGGCAATGGAGAAAGCGACAGAAGAATGCTCGAACAAACCAGTTAATGAGTGGACATCGACGTTCAAAATCCCATACGTAAAATATAAAAAGCATATTCTAGAGGAAATTAACAATTACATTGAGGAAAACCTAATGGGGAATCTGAACTTGGAAAAAATCAGCAAAATTATTTATGCAGCGCAAATGGCATATGAACAGTTAACCAAAAAGCCGCAAAGAGCGGGGGACTGGAAATATCCATTGAACAAATCAATCCAAGAGAAAGAAAATATGATGAAAATAATTGAAAAACGAATAGAATCTGGAAAAATGAACAGCAAAGAAAACCACATGGTAAAACAAGTAGCCAAGAAATATAGAAGCGACCCCAGGAAAATATCAGATTTAAAAATAGTTCAAGAAAAAATAAACCAAGAAATAAAAGTAATACAGAAAAGAATAGAGGTATCAGAAAAAAGAAGTGAATTTAATAAGACAAATTATATGTTTGAACTGAATAGGGGAGCATTTTACAGAAAATTAAAGCCACAAAAAGCAAATGAAGGCCCCATTAATGAAGAAGATTTAACAAATTTCTGGTCCAAAACTTGGGCGAAGAATCAAGACCTCGATATTCCGGAATACCTCATCCAGAATATTGAGAAAACAAACAAACCTATCGAGCAAATAGAAATAACAAAAGAAGAATTCGAGGAAACATTGAAAAATTTGCCAAATTGGAAAGCAGGCGGTATAGATAAAATTTATAATTTCTTTATTAAAAAATTGACCCCGCTACACGAAGATCTATATAAAGCCGTTGTTCAAGCTATAAGGAATCCAGAAACAATTCCAGACTGGATGTTTACTGCAAAAACCTTCTTGTTTCCTAAAGGAGGAGAGAACACCCCCAGCAACTACCGCCCCATAAGTTGCATGAGCAACCTGTACAAATTAATCACGCGGATATTATCTAGAAAGCTGAACAAATACATAGATAAGGAACGATATCTGTCTATCAATCAGATAGGAACGACGCAGCGAATTCAAGGCGCCAAGGAACAGGTCTTATTAAACAAAGCTATATGCAAAGAACACGCAAATAAACTGAAAACCATGTGGATCGACATAGCGAAAGCTTTTGACAGCATCGACCACAAATACTTGCTTAAGATATTGGAAACATCAAGAGTTCCAAAAGAAATTCAGCAATTCGCAAAAATTGCCCTAGACAAATGGCAAGCACAGTTGTACTATGGCAAGCAGTGCCTCAAAACAGTGAAAATAGAAAGAGGAATATTGCAGGGAGATGGGCTATCACCTCTATTCTTTGTCATGTGCCTCGAGCCGATAACAAGGGAGCTCAACAAAGAAGACAGTCCCCAAGTGGAGATGAGAGTGGGAGAGGAAAAAATTAAAATAAATCACCTATTGTTTATAGACGACATAAAAATATTTTCCTATAGCGACAAGGATCTTGAGCTCTTAGCGAACAAGACAACTCAGCTTTTGAATAATATAGGCTTCAAAATCAACCCGTCAAAAACAGCGACAAACTCCACAGAAATTCAGGAATTTGGGACACTGGCAGAAAAAGAAACATATAAATATTTAGGTGTTCTAGAGGATAACACCAGCGCAGTCGTCCCAGAAAATAAAGAGAGAATAAAAAGAGAAATAGTATCCAGAATGGAATCTTTAGCGGAAACCAAGCTGAACGCTAAAAACCTCTTCGCTGCTTTCAACGAATTTTCGCTCTCGCTCATAAACTACTACGTTGGAATCGTGGAGTTTAGTGAGCGAGAACTAGAAATGTTGGACCAAAAGGTGAGAACAACGCTGAGCAAATTCAAAATCCATCTTAAACCAGCAAATAAAGAAAGATTATATCTTCAACGCGAAGAAATGGGAAGAGGATTGGTGAACTTGGTCCAAAAAAACGAAAGAATTCTGCTAAGCCTCTACAAGTATATATTTGGGGGGGAGACAACAAAAAGAAAGGAAGCCATTAAAGCGTGTGAACAGGGCGAAAACACAATGCTCACGCACATCCAACTAATTATAGAAAACAAGTACAAAATAGAAGCCCAAAACATCACAATGAAAACTCTGAAAGAAAAACAGATTGAAAATCTAAGAGAAATCATTGGCCAGAAAATAATCCACAGAACATTCTTTAAAAATGAAGACCAACCGCTATTGGACATGATAGAATCCTCACAGTGGCTCAAAACGGGAAACAACACACCACAAAATGAAGGATTCTACATGTTCATACAAGATAGAAGCGTGTTCCCGAAGGATAAGAACCTGAAATGCCCTCACTGTGAAAAGGTACAGAGGACGGTGGACCACCTTGCTACAAACTGTGGAAGATTGCTTCCTTACGACTACACTGAGAGGCATAATGAAGTGGTGAGATGCGTCCACTTCAACTTGGCAAGAAAATATAATTTCACAGAGAACAAGAAGATAAAGCTCCACAAAATAACGACTAAGATTGAAAATGCATACGCCAAGATAATAACGGACCTGCCAATGATAAGCGATATCAATATCAGAGCTAACAAACCTGATATAATAGTATATGACAAAATAAAAAAAGACATAACAATCATAGAGATAGGGGTTACCTCCCAAGACAATATCCAAACTACGGAGCTGACAAAGAAAAGAAAATACCAGCTACTGGCGAGGGAAATGGCCCAAACTGAAAAAATGCCCGTAAAAGTAGTGCCGATAGTCTTAACATGGGATGGAATAGTAACCAAATATAACAAACAATACAGGAAAGAAATAAACATAAGAAAAAGGGACTTTGCATATATTCAATCCCTGGTGCTAAAAAAGACGATGGAAATTATCTCAACAGAAAAGAAGAATGAACCTTACGATAAGTTACAGAGAAATAAAGAAATGGAAGCCATGGATAGATTGTTGGAACGATGTAGGGAGCTGGCATGTGATGACGAGGAAGGTGGAACACCGGACATGGAGCACAGGGATACGACGACCATAGAAGAGATCCAGGAGAACGACCTAGAGCAGATGACAGGAGACATGACAGACAAGAATGGATCAAGGCCAGGAGACCATCTTATCGAGGAGCCACTAGTAGAGGCCATAGAAAGACTGCTGGAGAGCTGCAGGACATCAGGGGACCATAACGGCAAGGGCCACAGCACTGACCAGGAGTCATGATAGCAAATGTAAATATCTTTGTTTACTTTTACTGTTGTCATTTATTGAAGTTGTAAATAAAAATATGTAAATAGACTGACCATTCGCTACACTTTTTAGAGAAAAACTTGTAACCTTTTGGAAAATAAAATTTATTATTATCATTAGATAATGAACATAATGATGATGCGCGCGCATCCGTGACAGAACCGGCCGGCCGGCCCATGACGGTCGTGACTATATATGTTGATGGATAATAATAATAATATAATAATAATAATAATAATAATTATTATTATTATTATTATCATTAGATAATGATAATGATCATAATGATGATGCGCGCGCATCCGTGACAGAACCGGCAGGCCGGCCGGCCCATGACGGTCGTGACTATATATGTTGATGATGGATAATAATAATAATATAATAATAATAATTATTATTATTATTATTATTATCATTAGATAATGATAATGATCATAATGATGATGCGCGCGCATCCGTGACAGAACCGGCCGGCCGGCTGGCCGGCCAGCCGGCCCATGACGGTCGTGACTATATATAGGGATTGTTGTTGCTTCACGTGGTTCCGCGCTGTCCACACCCTACCCCAAGGTGTTTGGGCCTCTCTGCGCACCAAGGGGAAGCTGGTCCTCCACTCCAGCAATCCCGACAATATTTTATTATCACACACACACACACACACAAAACATATATAATCACGACCGTCTTTCCACCGTCAATTCCTCATGTCACGGATGCGCGCGCATCATTATTATGATCATTATCATTATCTAATGATAATAATAATAATAATTATTATTATATTAATATTATTATTCTATTATTTTATTATTATCAACATATATAGTCACGACCGTTCATCCTCAATTCCTCATCGCTGTCACGGATGCGCGCGCATCATCATTATGATCATTATCATTATCTAATGATAATAATAATAATTATTATATTATTTTATTATCACACACACACAACATATATAGTCACGACCGTCTTTCCACCGTCAATTCCTCATTCCTCAATTCCTCATGTCACGGATGCGCGCGCATCATCATTATGATCATTATCATTATCTAATGATAATAATAATA